TGTCCATATAATATTTAAAAGCTAATTAGCTGTTCTATTTACATGATCTAATTTTTTAATCATATTCTTATGATATACTCCAAAACTTTTGTAAATGTTGTCTAACATCAGGGTCTAACTCAATTTCTGTAAAAGGGGGCAATGAACAACTTTAAAAGGCAATGTGAACAGAGATGTTATTGGAACAACTAGGAAAATATGAGTATAAATTGTACACTAGATATTAGTACTATGTAAGTATTAGATTTCTTGAATTTGGTAACTGTATTGCAGGTATGCAGAATAATATTTTTATTTTTAGAAGACACATGCAGTGTTATGATGGTAAATGTTTAACAGTTGGCTCACAGAGGAAAAAAAAAGCCTTGGTTTACAGCACTGCCAGTTTCCATGGTATAAATACTGTTACCATGGCTGATTTCAAGTAACCAACTAGGTGCAGAGTTGAAAAGAAATATACACAATCAGCTTTTACAAGCCGGTACCTGCCCATTCTAGCATACTATTCAATTAATGTTTGAAGTATGTGGGGCTGAAGTGTCAGGATGTTTGCAGCTTATACAAATGGCCAACAGGCATATGAAAAACATGTTCAACATTACCAATAACCAGAGAAACACAAATCAAAACCACAGTGAGATACAACCTTACTCCAGTTAGAATGGCTGGAGACAAAAGAAAGACAAAAGAAAACAAGTGTTGGCAAGGATGTGGAGAAAAGAGAACAGTTACACATGGTTGAGACTGTAAGTTATTATAGCCATTATGGAAAACAGTATAGATAGAACTACTATATCATCCAGCAATTCCACTACTGGGAACATACATCCAAAGGAAATGAAATCAGCATGTTAAAGAGATATCTGTACTCCCATGTTTAGTGCAGTATTATTCACAATAGCCAAGATATGGAATCAACCTGATCAACCTAAGTGTCCATAAAGAAAATGTGGCGCGCGCGCGTGCGCGCGCACACACACACACACACACACACACACACACACACACACTATAGAGCCATAAAAGGAATAAAATCCTGTCATTTGCAACAACATGGATGAACCTGGGGGACACTGTGTTAGGTGAAATCAGCCAGATACAGAAAGACAAATACTGCATGATCTCACTCATGTGGAATCTCAAAAAAAGTTGTATCATAGAAGCAACCAGTAGAACAGTGGTTTCCAGAAACTGGGAAAGCGGAAGGAGAGAACAGGGAGAGGTTGATCAACAGATACAAAGTTACAATTAGATAGGAGGAATAAGTTCTGGTGTTCTATTGCATAGGATGACTAAGGATAACCCTAAGTATTATACATTATAAAATAACTAGAAGAGTCCTTTGAATGTTCCCACCAAAAGGAAATGATAAATGCACAAAGTGAAATATATGCTAGATACCCTGATTTAATTATTACACAACATATATATATATGGGAACATCATATTGGACTTCATAAATATATAAAATTGTAATGTGTCAACTGAAAAAAGTAGCAGTTTGAAATAAACAAAAAGGTACTGCATTAAAAATAGAAAAATAGACAACAAAATTCCACATCTATCCATCCCACCCAGCCATCCTACCCACTTATGTAAAGATAAAAGCTCTAAAATCTTCACAATTAATCTATGAAAAGGTAAATGGATGTTAATTGTAGTATTTCAACTTTTCTGTGGGTTTGAAATTTTTAATTATATTTTTAATTATAATAATTGGTAGAGCAAGCAAAGTAGGGTAATTTAGAGAAATCCTATGGTCAATTCTTTTATAACATGAATAGTAAGTTCTTTGTATAACAGCATCCCTCTGTCAAATATACCAAATATGATATAGACCTTTAAGTTATTTTAAGACCAAAACAAACAACAAGAAGTTTGCCAATATCAAGAGCCAAAATTATACATTCTCTTACTGTTATAAATTTAAGTAAAAATGGCCAACTAGATAATGATCTCTCTCACAAACCATGATCTCTCTTCACAAAAGAAAATTGCTAATTTGATGAAAAATGTAAATGCATTTTCTAGACATTAGGATAAAGTTTTAAAAATAGCCTAATTTCAGACAGTGATGCTAACTTAATTCCATTCAGGAATATATGTTTGGTAAGTGAGAAAACAAAATATGAAAACTTTAAATATTAATTAAAATGTTTATTCCCAAATACAGATTGGTCATGTTCCCAAAAGGGATGTATTTAAGTCTGACCATTATTTAGACTTAAATATTACTGACAAGCAACCTGAGTTATAACTACATTCCCAGAAAAATCTACCAAAGGTTTC